CTCCGCTCCCGGAGCCGCCCCGCCCCCAGCGCCGAGAGCTCCCCGTGCGGGGCCGGGATTTGTAAACACGCAGAACTGCTCGGCCGGGCCTCGGTCCCGCAGATGGTCCAGTCACCAGGACACCCCGGCCCCACAACCCCATCTGGGGCGAAGGAGGCAGGATTTGATGACGGTGTAGCTACCGTTACGGGGGTGTGAAAAGATCAGGGACCTGTGTCCGTCCTTCGCGTACTAGCAAAATGGTATTGGCCAAACCGGTTATTAATATGGGAACATACAGATAGAGAGTCCTGCCGCACACTAAAAGTAAACCCCAGGTGGGTTGAAGATCTCAATGAAGAAATACAGTAAAAATAAGGCATTTTAGAACATTATATAACTGCGTTAAGAAAGAGCTTTTTAACTAAAGCCATTTAAAATATATATTTACATAAACATTTTAAATGTTCTAATCTATTAGCAAAAACAAAACAATTTTTAATAGTAATCATTACTCCACTTAGGAGTAGTCTTTTTTTTAAAATTCTTTATTGCTTGAAGTATTACATATAGTAGTACATATATCTCCTTTTTCCCCCATCGACCTCTCCCAGCCACCCCCAACCACCAGCACATGCCCTCACCCGCCCAGTGTCTGTGTCGGTGGGTTATGCTCATATGCCTGCATACAAGTCCTTCCGTTGATCTCTTACCTGTCCCCCTCCCCCGCCTTCCCTCTGAGGTTTGACGGTCTGATAGATGCTTCTCTGTCTCTGGGTCTATTTTTATCAGTTTATGTTGTTCATTATATTCCACAAATGAGTGAGATCATGTGATATTTATCTTTCTCCAACTGGCTTATTTCGGTTAGCATAACGCTCTCCAGGTACATCCATGCTGTTGCAAATGGTAAGAATTCCTTTTTTACAGCAGCGATGTAGTATTCCATTGTATAGATGTACCACAGCTTTTTAATCCACTCATCTGCTGATGGGCACTTAAGCTGTTTCCAAATCTTAGCTATTGTAAATTGTGCTGCTATGAACATAGGGGTGCATATATCCTT